ATTAATTTATTAATTTAATGAAAATCCAAATAATGAGAATCAAAATTAAAATGAAATTAAATATATTAAATATAAATATATAAAATGGAATAGATAAATAATTAGATAAATAGAAAGAATTTAGAAAGACTTGAAATAAATCGAAAAGCAAAAGGACTTGTACTGGATGTGCACTACATATACAAATGGATCAAAAAGAGATGTAGGTGAAAAAAGAAATTAACGAAAAAAAAATAGGAAGAAACCTTGGGCTTATTCAATCAAGCAATATAAATAAAATACACAAGCTTAATCCCTTGTTTTGTTATTTGTTAATAGATTTCCAATGAAAAATCCCCCAGTTGCAAGTACTGTAAATTTTTTATATTTCTAGATCCAATTATCAATTCTCACTTGATCTTTTTTATATGCATCTTATATCAATAAAATTCTAGCAATAAAATCGATTTTTGTACTTATACGTATAGAACATCATAATATTCTATAGTAGCAACATTAACTAGGAATAATAAATAGGTATGAATAGAGAACCAAAAAAGAGGGGAAGGGTAAAGAAAAAGTTATAGAAAACTATATAGGAGTCATCTACACCCTCTTTTTTGGTTCTATTGCTTAATAGAATTTCGTTTGATTAAGACTAAGCTGCGTAAAAACCCCCGCCTTCTTTGAAATATCATGAACAGTTCCTGTAGGTTGAGCGCCCTTGTCAAGGAAATATAGAATAGCAGGAACGTTTAAATGGGTTTGATTATTTATCGGATCATAAAAACCCACTTTCCGAAGATCTCTTCCTTCTCTTCGGGATCGAACATCAATTGCAACGATTCGATAAACGGCTCATTGGGATAGATATAAATGAACAATACCCCCCCTAGAAACGTATAAGAGGTTTTCTCCTCATACGGCTCGCGAAAAAACGATTCGAAATTATTATGTATCGAATTAGAATGTCAAATATCAAATAGATATATAAAATCATCAAATCAATTTCCAGAGATTTAAGTCCTTCTTTTTTTTCTTCTTTTTCGAAAAAGAAGAAAAAAAGAGCATTCGTACTCTCATAACTCAAGTTGGATAACTTTCAAATAGCCTATAAAGAACAGCCTTAGGCATTTATTTCATTTTTTGAGCGGTCTCTAACCCCTTTGTTGTTTGTCTCCTTTCGAATCCATTTTTGGAGTCTCGATTCTGATCTAATTATTGAGACAATTGAAAACGGTATTTCCTTGTTCCAGGATCCTTTATCTTTGCCTTGAATCATTGGGTTTAGACATTACTTCGGTGATCTTTAATCGTTTTCAAAAATGGCAGCAACAAACCTCTTTTTGTGATTTCTTTCTATGAAAGAATTATACGAACAATTGATTCCTGCATGATACACTTTTGATCGAAAGAGTTTTACCAATTCAAAAAGATTTTCCTTTTGCATTGAAAAATTGTTCGAATCGGATCCTTTCGATTTCGATATCAAAAATATACTTACGAAGTTTGTTCCAACGTATTGATTGGTATTAACCCTAGACCCTTGCCCCTGAGAAATGAATAAATACTTTCTACTCGAGCTCCATCAAGTACTATTTACATTACAACCCAACAAAAAACGAGGGTTGTAGTAGAACCGAACAAAGGATGTCGAGCCAAGAGCCCATTCATTCCTAGATAATAGAAAATAGAAAATGGTGGATGGAAAAAAAATCCACAGCTGATCATGTCCTTCAAGTCGCACGTTGCTTTCTACCACATCGTTTCAAACGAAGTTTTACCATAACATTTCTTTAGTTTCGAACCAGTATGTAATTGATTCAATTATGGAATCATGAATAGTCATTGCTTCGGTCAATACACAGTACTTTTGACTTCTATATGAAATGAATAAGTAATTTAAGCCTCAGTTAGGAAGAAAAAGGCTCAGTAAGAATTCAATTTAACCCTCGATTTTATTGTATGAGTGCAATAGTTTTTTTATTTATAAATAAAAAATAACACGAATAAAAAAAAATTGGAATCTCCGTTGTATCTTCAAATGATTCGATAGAATAGATTCAACAATCTTACACGTCTTCGAGTCCCAAGGACACGTAAAAAACATTCAAATTATTTAAAAAAATTTCCTACCCCGACATCATAATTTAAATACAGTTTTACTAAGGATTATATTTGATCATCATAAGAGAGATAAATCCATATCGAGGATTTCCGTATCTATCAGATTAGACTGAACAATTTTCATTGGAAGGAATTATTGATATTCGATGTTAAATAGTTAAGAGTAAGGTAAGGGCTCACAAATCCTTTTCAAAAAAAGCGAAAGAACGCTATCAATGAAATATAAGGATAGCAATCCATGCATATAAAGATTTCCTCAATTTATGCGTAGTTTCTTTTGCTTGAACTTAAGGTTGACTAATCTTTCCCTAAAATTTTAAATGAAAATAAAGTAAATAAGATGTATGAATCATCCCCGTCTCAATTGTTATTACATAGATTTAAATTATTCATTAGAGACAAATACCAAATACCTAAAAATGAGGGTTAAAGAAAATCTATTAACCATTAAATATGGAACTTGATTATTTGGTAATGAAATTTGGACAGACATAGATATTCAAATTGATATCTTCCATCGCTCACTAACTCTTATCTACTCTCACTCTCAATTCATTCCGGGGGGATGATGAATCATAAATAAAAAAGGATCCTTTTTTCTGGGATGCTAGACTATTTTGTCTAAAATACAAAGCCAAAAAGATCCAGATTAAGTCATTAACTAGTCTTAAGAGACTTAATCCCATTGATTGAATTCAATCAGTAACAAGAATACCCTCTTGTTTAGAATTCAGAAATAAAAGGAGAATAATTGGGCTGTCTTATTAAAAAAAGATAGGGAATATAGAGGCTTTCGCATTTCGATTTAGAATGTATCCTTGAAAAATCAACTAGATATGGCACGTAAGGCTTTTCTAAGCAACTAACTTAAATACGAAAGTGAAAGGGGGAGGCATAAACTAAAAGGCTCATCAGACTTTTTTTGACTTCAACCTCTTGGGATCTAGGTTCCCATCTTATCTGGATCAAAAATGGATTCTGTTATGTTTTCGTATTATTCGAACTCGATTCAATTTGTGAAAAAAGATCAGATTCAGAGAAAAATTTTTAAAATTAGAAACAAGAAGTCAATTTTATCAAAACAAAAATTAGACTCTTAAATAGTAAATAAAACGTTGCTCAAAAACAAAAAGAGAATTTTGATTCTGATATCTGATATATATTAGAGTCCACTCTGGGACGGAAGGATTCGAACCTCCGAATAGCGGGACCAAAACCCGTTGCCTTACCACTTGGCCACGCCCCATTTCAATTTCTATTCAATACTAATAAACACTAATATTGATATTGGTTGTTCGTCAATTCCAGTGCAAATCCCTACGGAATAAATTCGATTCTTGTTTTATTTTAGTATTAGGGTTTTGACACGTGTAGCTGTCGAATTAAACTCAATTTATTGATCATTATATATAATTCAATTAAGATATTGTATGAAAGTATGATTTCTTCTATTCTCTTGTGAGAATAGAAGGATTTTTGTTTTGATTGGTTCGGTTCAAAGAAGTCTTTTTTTGTCTACCTGACTTCCTTTTCTTCATTTTTACCTTCTATCAATAACATATTAATAACTCAATCAAAATACAACTATCTCCAAGAAAAAAATGTTTGTTATGCTTAATATCTTTAGTTTGATTTATATCTGTTTTAATTCTGCCCTTTATTCCAGTAGTTTTTTATTCGCCAAATTGCCCGAGGCCTACGCTTTTTTGAACCCAATTGTAGATGTTATGCCAGTAATACCTCTTTTCTTTTTTCTCTTAGCCTTTGTTTGGCAAGCTGCTGTAAGTTTTCGATGAGATCTTTAATACTATCCTAGAAAAATTCATAATTTATTCGAGTTCGAGAAAAAAAATTTTACCAATTGATAAGATCAGATGAGTCTTACAATATGAATGAACCCTCAATTCAAACGGCGAAATTCTCGAGTAGCCACGATAAATTTGGATCCCGCGATTTCCCGATTCTTACTTTTTTTTTTCACTGAAACACCCTATATCGAGTCCACCACAATATCGAATTCGAATTGTGTGAATTTCTGAAAACTCTTTTCTATTTCTAGAAATTCGAAAACCGTTTCATTTCTTGGTGTCAAACTAGGATCCATAGTTCATAGTATAAAAATAGAGAATCTATTTTCTTTTTCCCAGAAAAACAGATTTGGAGATTGTGTAATGCTTACTCTCAAACTCTTTGTTTACACCGTAGTGATATTCTTTGTTTCTCTCTTCATCTTCGGATTCCTATCTAATGATCCAGGACGTAATCCTGGACGTGAAGAATAAAAAATAAGAAGGTTTTCCTTGCTTTATTCAATTCTTAGAAATGCTCTTAGGATTTTTTGCTATTCCACATCTTTAACTAGAACTATATCTTTAACTATATCTATTAAAAAAAAAACAAAAAGGTTTACTAAATTAAAATTTGAAAGATACCAAGCCATTGACGGAAACGGAAAGAGAGGGATTCGAACCCTCGGTACGAATAACTCGTACAACGGATTAGCAATCCGCCGCTTTAATCCACTCAGCCATCTCTCCTAATTGAAAAAAAAGACAATTACTATGTTACATTACACAAAAAAAAATAATGTTTAAAAAAAGCCCTTCTTTACTTTATTTATTATATTTCTATAAATTTCTTATATAAATTATTAGATAGCTTATAGAGATTCGTTTTTGATTCTATTTTGTATTGTATTATATAGATAGATACAACTTTTATCAGCAATTCCCTTTTTATAAAATTCAAATAAACGACTCGAAAAAGATATCTCGAATAAAAAAAAAAAAAAAATAAAGAATATCTCTTTAATTTTGAATTTTGTTTCCAAGGGCCGTTTTGATTTCCATGGCCTGGCCTGGCAGTACCGAGCCGGGCCTCCCTTTTTGTTTTGTTTCAATGAAGCATACCACACCGAATCCTAGATAAAATGATTTATTTGGATTTGATTTGAAAACCAAAAAAAGAAATGCGTGTTCCTCTTATTATATTCAACCAAGACTCAAAAGATGAAACTATCGATTTTTGCACAATTCATTTTTATGTTATGACTTAAGTTAAGTTCTTTTGTCGAGCCATATCTGTCAAAATTCCTCCAACAAAAGAACTTGTTATTTAAAGGAAAAAGTCCTCTTTTTTTTTCCTAATTTCATTAGGACTCCCGACAAACACGTCAACGCTCTAATCTCTAATTTCCATTTCATGGTTATTTTTCATTTCTGTCTTATCTTGATTCCGTCCGATTCCTTTGTTGGACAAAAGGCCCTTTTATATACAATAATTGCATTGTAGCGGGTATAGTTTAGTGGTAAAAGTGCGATTCGTTCTATTAACCCCCTTAATAGTTAAGGGGTCCTTCAGTTTCATTCATATTCCGATCAAAAACTTTATTTCTTAAAAGGATTGAATTTGAATCCTTTACCTCTAAATGAAAAATTCGAGGAATAGTATCCATTCTCGTGATTTGTATCCAAGGGTCACAATTCGAAATTGAAAATTTGGATTATGAAATTGCGAAACATAATTTTTTTGAATTGGATCCATACTTCCAATTGAATAAGTATAAGTAAGGGATCCATGGATAAAGATAGAAAAGTCTATTTCGAATCGTAACTAAATCTTCAATTTTGGTTTTGTATAGTGTAGATTGAAGCAAAATAGCTATTAAACGATAACTTTGGTTTACTAGAGGCATCGACCTATTCATATTCTATTTTTTTAGCTCGGAAGAAACAAAATACTTTTCCTGAGGATTCTCTCAAATAGAAATAGAGAACGAAGTAACTAGAAAGATTGGTATTGTTAGAATCCCCTTCTTCTAGAGGGATCATCTAGAAAGCGAATTGTTTTGAATGGATTCAGACCAAAAAAGCTGACATAGATGTTATGGGTCGAATTTTTTTATTTCGTTCCTGTCTTATATCTGGGAATTTATCCATCTTCCATAAAGGAGCCGAATGAAACCAAAGTTTCATGTTCGGTTTTGAATTAGAGGCGTTAAAAATGATGACTGGACGTCGACTATAACCCCTAGCCTTCCAAGCTAACGATGCGGGTTCGATTCCCGCTACCCGCCCCATATGATAATTATATCAATTATTATATCAATTCATTGATGCATTAATTCAATTCAAATTAATGCATCAATGAATTGAATACGCAATTCCTTAAATTCTCTCCCATATTCTTTTTCTTTATTTTTTCCGAACAAGAGATAGGAAAGAAAAATGCGAAAAAAATTCGGAATGAAAGGCGTCCATTGTCTAATGGATAGGACAGAGGTCTTCTAAACCTTGGGTATAGGTTCAAATCCTATTGGACGCAATTTTTTTCCATTTCTATATTATATTCTAATAGGATTATTTTAATAACTAATTAAAAATTAACTAATTAAAAATAATAAATTCAAATTCCTTATTACTTCTATCTTAATTTTTTTTTATTAATATTTAATATTCCATTTTTTGAATATTCAATTCTGAATCGAATTCAGTATTAGAAAGATTAAGAGTGATCGGTTTTTTTTATTTATAATTGTTCCTGAAGTAGAAAGCGTTCCATATGTTCCTGAATAGCTTCTTTCAAAAGGGCTTCTGCTTCCTCGGTGAATGTCTTGGTAGAAGATATGATTTCTTGGAACTGAGGTTTATTCGTTTTTAAGTAAGTACGTAACTCAACGAGAAATTTTCTTACCTGTCCAATTTCTAATGAATCAAGATAACCATTCGTTCCAGTATAAATAGTCATTATCTGTTCTTCAACCGTGAGAGGGGCTGATTGGGATTGTTTGAGCAACTCACGTAATCGTTGACCCCTTGCCAATTGATTCTGAGTAGCTTTATCGAGATCAGAAGCAAATTGCGCAAAGGCTTCTAATTCTGCGAATTGGGCCAATTCCAATTTTAATTTGCCGGCTACTTGTTTCATAGCTTTAATTTGAGCGGCGGATCCTACTCTGGAGACAGAAATACCCACATTAATGGCAGGTCTGATTCCTGCATTGAATAGATCCGCGGATAAGAATATTTGTCCATCTGTAATGGAAATTACATTAGTAGGAATATAAGCCGAAACATCTCCGGACTGGGTCTCAACTATTGGTAAAGCGGTCATACTTCCTTCACCTAACTGAGAACTTAATTTCGCGGCTCGTTCCAAAAGTCGTGAATGTAAATAAAAAACATCTCCTGGATAAGCTTCGCGACCGGGAGGTCTTCGTAATAGAAGAGACATTTGTCGATAAGCCTGCGCTTGTTTGGAGGGATCATCATAAATGATTAAAGTGTGTCGTTCACGGTACATAAAATACTCAGCCAGAGCTGCTCCCGTATAAGGAGCGAGATATTGTAACGTAGCGGGGGAATCCGCCGTTTCGGCTACCACAATAGTGTATTCCAGCGCCCCCCTTTCCTGGAAAGTAGTCACTACCTGAGCCACAGAAGATGCTTTTTGACCAATAGCTACATAAACACATATTACATTTTGCCCTTGTTGATTGAGAATCGTATCCGTGGCTACTGCCGTTTTACCGGTCTGTCTGTCCCCAATAATTAATTCTCGTTGACCGCGTCCTATAGGGATCATCGAATCAATAGCAATAAGTCCTGTTTGAAGAGGCTCATATACGGAACGTCTCGAAATAATACCTGGGGCGGGGGATTCAATTAATCGAGATTCAGAAGCTGAAATTTCACCTCGACCGTCAATAGGTTTAGCCAGGGCATTTATAACACGACCCAAATAAGCCTCGCTTACTGGTATCTGAGCAATTTTTCCTGTTGCTTTTACAGAACTTCCCTCTTGTATCATTAAACCGTCACCCATTAATACAACACCAACATTATTTGATTCTAAATTTAGAGCAATGCCTATTGTACCCTCTTCAAATTCTACTAATTCACCTGCCATTACTTCATCAAGACCATAAATACGAGCGATGCCATCGCCTACTTGAAGTACGGTACCGATATTTACAATCTTTACTTCTCTATTATATTGCTCAATACGTTCACGGATAATATTACTAATTTCGTCGGCTCTAATTGTTACCATGAGTATTTCTTAATTTTTTTTTTTGGAAGAAAAAAAATAATGCCTACTGCAAAAGGACTAATCAGTTATTTCTTTCAGCGCCCCAAACATGCCAATATTAGCACTAATGGTACGTAAATGTAACTCCTTGTTCAAACAACTATTTAGAGTTCCTAGAGCTCCTTGTAAAGCTTGTTGGAAAACCCGTTGTCGGACTTGATTAATTGCTCTTTGTTGTTCAAAATGGATGGTTTCATTTTTGTAATTTTCTAATTGTTCCAAAGTTTTAGAAGTTGAATTAATCAAATTCCATTTTTCTCGTTCTATCTCAGAGTACCCATTCACTCGAAACTGATCTGCCTCCATTTCAACTTTCCGTAAACGGGCCCGGGCTTTTTCCAGCCGTTCAATGGCCCCTCCCTGCAGTTCTTCTGAATTTCGAATAGTATTTAAGATCCTCAGTTTTCGATTATCTAATAAATCACTTAATGAAAGTAGATTATCGTTCCATTCATCTCAAAATTTCCATAATCCCTTCCCGAACCAAACATGAAATTTTCGATTCATTTGGCTCTCACACTCAATTACTTGAACTATTTATGTATGGGGGGGCAGTCCCATATCTTTTTTTTAATGTAATGAGCCTATCCTCTTCCTCTCTTCTCTATTCATATTCCAAAATGCCGTGACTGATCAATAAAATCAAGACAAGAATATTCGGAGGACTCTTCTGACCAAACAAAAATAGATAATTGTCAGCAAAGTTGTTTCTTTTTTCTTAAAATCCAAAGAATTCTTCTTACTTTAATATATAGGTCATCGATTCAGCATAAAAAGGGGTTGATTGAAATACCCATTTTTCCAATATTTTCCAATAAAAAAGAAAAGGCTCAAATCATTTTATCGACACGAGTGTTTTATATCGAAAAAAATTCTAATTATTCATTTTGAAACCATTTCTATTCGATATTAACATAGAAGTAGAAAGAGTACCATGCTGCGTCTGTACTTCAAACGGTTTAGCTTTAACCATGTTCATGTTAATGGTCCCGCATTATTGGTTTGTTTGATAGAGAATCAAAGTAGATTTACCAATGAATCACGAAATGCTATAGTTCTTAAATATGATTTTCAATTTATTCAGAAGTAATTCGCGGAATCGTGCACCTTTTTCAGTCCTAGTTAGAACAAAAAAAAAGTGCAACTGGTTGAATCCAGCCTATTCTTGAAATAAACAACTCACACGCACTCCCTTTCCAAAAAAGATCAATACACCAAGCACTACACTTAGATTTATTGGATTTGTTGCTAAAATATCGGTATTAAACCCGAAACTCCCGGCGAATGGCCAGTGAAACGAGGAAACGAAAGACTCGGTTCCATTTTTCATATGATCTCCTCTTTTAGATAGACTAAAAAAAAAAGAACTCTGTTCTTTTTTTTTTGTATCACTTCACCCTTTTTTCGACTTCTTCTATCTATTTATATTTATTTATTATTATTTAATATTCAATTTCGATTTTTTTTGTTTTTTTTTTTAGTCATTTTTCTATTGCGAAATAGAGTCAAAAATTCGATATAGAATTTTAAAAAGCAAGGAACACAGGTCTCTAAATACGACAAAAAAATACGTAATTTTCCTATTTATAGGATTAAACAAAGGGATTCGCAAATAAAAGCGCTAATGCTACAACCAGTCCATAAATTGTTAAAGCTTCCATAAAAGCCAGACTAAGCAATAAAGTACCTCGTATTTTTCCCTCCGCCTCGGGCTGTCTCGCGATACCTTCTACAGCTTGGCCTGCTGCAGTACCTTGACCGACCCCAGGTCCAATAGAAGCAAGCCCGACAGCCAACCCAGCAG